TACAGTAGTCCCTCCTTATCTGTGGCTTCACCTTCCACGGTTTTGATTATCTGTGGTCAACTGTGACTCAAAAAATGTTAAATGAAAAATTCCAGAAATAATTCATAATTAAAAATTGTGTGCCACTTTCTCCATATTGTACTGTCCTGCTCCATCCTACTGGGATGTGAACCGTCCCTTTTCCCAGGGTATTCACCCTGTATAAACTACCTGTGCATTAGTCACTCCAAAGCCCCTTGGTTATCAGACCCATTGTTGCCGTATTGCAGTGCTAGTGTTGGAGTAGCCCTTACCTCACTTACTCACGGCCTCAAAGCACAAAAGTAGTGATGCTGGCAACTCAGATAAACCAGAAAACCTGTACAGTGTTTTCTTTAAGGGTCACCTCCCATCATCACAAGATGAGTACAATGCAGTGAGATACTAAGAGGGAGGGAGAGGATACATTCCAGTAACTTTTATTACAGTATAGGTATATTTTTCCATTTTATCATGATCATTAACTTCTTTTTTTAAAGAAGAAAGGTTTATTTTGGCTCACATGTTGTTAATCTCTTCCTGTGGTTAATTTATAAACTTTTTTTATAGGTATGCATATGTAAAAAGTAGTCTATTTGGGGGCAGTGATATCTGCGGCTACAGGCATTCACTTGGAAAGCATATTCTCATAAGGAGGAAAAGAATACTGTACATACAACTGCGGAAATCACAGGGAAAAAAAGGCTTTCAGGACGCAATCTTAATGTCCTCAACTGAGAATCAGTACATCTATATACTGTGACACTTCAAAGACGTAGAAAGAAATGAAGAGGCTTATGTACTGATCAAGGATGCTTTCCAAGTTCTGTAAGAAGAGCAAAGCACGGAGTTATATTTGTTGTATGCACATAAAAGGTATGTGAGCAACATAGTATATATTTTACCTGTGTGTAACCATGTCTTAGTTACTCTTCTTATTGCTGAAGACAAAATACCGAGCACTCAAAGTCAAAGGGAAAAGGCTTCTTCGGCTCATAGTTTGTAGAGGTTTTAGTTTATAAATGACTGGCTCCAAGGCAGGGTGGCCCGGCAGAGGACCGTCACAGAGAACAAGACAGCAAAAGCAAGCAAGCAAGGGGGAGACAAGACTCTTTCTGTCCCTTACATTGTATGCAGGATACCTTAGGGAGGGGTAGCACTTATACCTTTAATCTCAGCCAGAACTATGGCAAGCCAATCAGTGGACTGATTTACTAATCACACACCCTTAATCGCTACATTACACACTCTAGATCCAGCCACCTCTGAAAAAGCCCTGTGACCACCTGAGGCTTTGCGAGGCCATCAAGACACAAACCGTAACACATCATGTGGTACATTACAACATGTGTTACAGTGTTTATATTCTATATTAAATAATGTATCAATTCAAATTATGCTACTTACATATTAATATTTATTATGACAAATAAATATATATTTCTGCCTCTGTGCACTTGGTAGCAGACATATATTTTAATGTATGAATTTTCTTGTAGATGATTAACTGTCTGTAGGAGCACACTCAGGAAAATGGCAATACTAATTGTCTCCTGAGGACTAGGTAATGGAGTGGCACAAGTGTTTCCACCAAACTCATACCTTTTGAATACTGTACCATGTGACAAAGTCCTTCAGGAAGAGCACCAGGAACACACCTGTGGTCACACAGATCGTCTCTCTGGGTTGAGTATTTGTTTTTTTTGGTTTTTTCTCCGGTACCAGGAACCGAACTCACGACCTTGCGCTTGCCAGGCAGGCACTTTGCCGCTGAGCTAAATCCCCAGCCCCTGGGTTGAGTATTTTAGCAATCTGTTCCAAGAGGTATGAGGAACAAAGTAGGGCTGGGGAAGTCATTAGTAAGAAAGTATTAATGACTGAAAAGAAAAAGGTTGTTAGTTTGAGAACACGGGGAGGAATTTTGGAGGGAAATACAACCCACCAGGTCATACCCCAAGCAACCCACCTCTTCCGGCCAGGCCCACCTTCCACAGGCCCTACCTGTGAGTCCATGAGGCTCTTGGGGGACATCCCATATCTAAACCAGAACAAAAAATAAGGAATTTAAGAGCCAAAAATAAAAAGCAATCCATAACAATACCCACACAGGTATGGTATAGCCTTGGGAAAAATATTGTTTCTAATGGCCTTCCCAGTGGCCTTGTATTTATTTATTTATTTTAAAGAGGTTTATTTAGCTCAGTTTTGGAGCTTTAAAGGCCAAATGGTATCCGCAGACCATGTGACAGAGGGCTGATCTTTGGCTGTTTTATCTCACAGCAGAGCAGAGGGCAATGCCAGGAGTGTCAGAGCCGGAGATCACATCTCCAGCCCAGAAGCACTGAGAAGTGGGTGGGGCTACGCTTGCTCCTTTTATAACAACACTAGTGAGAATTACCAAGGGGTTGTGTGAGAACTATCTCACGTTCCCAGTGACCTAGGCACCACTTCTTTAATGCACGCGCCCCCGCCCCCCGGGTTGTGCCACCCTGGGGGCCAGGTTTCTTTTTTCTTTTTTGAGACAGGGTCTCGCTATGTAGTTCAGGCTGGTCTTGAACTCACTATGCTGCCCAGGCTGGCCTCGAACTTGTGGCGATCTTCCTGCCTCAGCCTCCCAAGTGCTCGGATTACAGGCATGTGCCACCCCGCCCAGCAGCCCTGTATTTATTAGGTACATCACAGACCAAACACAATCAGACCTGATCTTTAGTTTCAGTCCTGACTTTTACTTTCTCACCCTTGAATATTTTACTGGCTCAAAAACTACACAGATGTTAAAGCTGGCAAGATGAAAATAAACCTTTTCCCACACACTTCCCAAACCTAGATTATCAGTTTCCTTGCAAATAAAAGATTTATCTGGCAAACAAAAAGTCAATTTTTTTCTTCTAAGCAGCCCTGTTCCTTCCAAAAGTCAATTTTTTTTTAAACTGAGAAAAGGTTTTTATTTTTTTAATTTCATTTTAAAGAGTAGTAAATGAGAAAAAAAAAATAGCAGCATACCAGCATCATAAACATAAACAAACCAAAGCAAGAACATTTAAAGTGATACAGGGTTTCAAGACAAAATGATACAAATTAACAGTGGTTGTTATAT